AAATACCAATCTGTGTTTGTTTGGCGAGAAATCTTTGATGTGAGAATAGAAAAGGAAAGGAGGGAGTTCACACCGCTCCTTGCTCTCTTCTTCCGGCTTGAAGTTTGAACGGACTCATCTCCTTTCAATGTGTTGGCTCGATGATTTCGCTGGGCACCTCGCCGCTTTGGTTTCCTTTAAAACTCGCCAGACAAGGTGTCTCATTTAGACAACAAAGAGAGAGAGGCACTCCGACAGTTGGAGGCTTGATCAAAGATGTCTGATCAGAGCTGTTTCCACTCAGACATGTTTTTGACTCGGTTATGTAACGCTTTAGTTTTCTTTCTGTCTCTGTAAATCTCTCTCTCTTTCAATTTGTTATGGGCACAACTGTTTGAAACAGCATTTTGAACAAACAGCCGTATACTGAAAGCCAACAAGTACCAAATCAATGAATTCATTCAGACAAGTTTAAGATAGCGCTTTGTCTGGCTTGTTCCGTTCTAAAAATAACACATGATAATCAGAAATTATAATAAAATATCTCTCTGTCTATCACTGTCGCTGAAACCCTTTTGGGTACACTTCAAACATCTCTGTCTCCCTCCAAGTGAGCCATTTTGATTGGGTTAAATCCCTCTATGATTGACAGCTGCTGTCAGTTCTGCCTCTGGTACAGCTCATGATAATGGCCTCCGGTCCCTCATCAAGGCCACAAAATAATACAGTGGAGAGGCACTCAGCCAGATCCAAATGTGTGTGCGTGTCTATGTCTATGTGTGTGTGTGTGTGTGTGTGTGTGTGTGTGTGTGTGTGTGTGTGTGTGTGTGTGTGTGTGTGTGTGATGCTGGGCGGGAAGGCCCATTAGCATTCATCAGTAGGATAATAGGCCAGCGTTAATGTCAGCTGTTTATATAAAGAATAACTCATAAAGCCCTGGCGTATATGGGCTGATAGAGCATGCTTCTCTCCACGCCACATTTGTTAGGGTGTGTGTGCAAGGGTGGAAGGGTGGTAAGGGATTGTAGCTTCCAAAATCTCAGAAGGAACTGTTTGACACTAAAGTGAATTTATTGACTGTTAGATAAACATAAGACAAGGAGGGAAGACTTAACTAGAGGGGCGAGACAGCCTTGTGATCAGTGCTGAAAATTTGCACAAAAGCAGTGAAAAGCAGAAAAACAGAATTCACTGCATTTTAAAAAGACACCAAACTCATCATTAAATTCATGAAATTCACTTGATTTATTATAGATTCCAGGTTTCAGGGGGAATTAACTTAATCGCGTACAACACTGCCCTGTTTTGGAGGAGAATTCTGTATGCAAATATATTCTCGTTATACGATCTAAAATAAAATTCTGACAGAACCACTCTTGCATCTACATTTCCTCCTCTGTAGCCCAGCTTCAAGTCCCTCTCTGCGACTATCACATCTGGGTTCTGGCGGTGACGACAGAATCGCAGATTGTACAGTTAATGGTGTCGTCGTCCAACTTCCCCGGAACCTCTTTGGTATTTTAAGCGTAGAAGTCAATGTGTCGTTTTAGTCGACCTGACTTCACATACCTAATTTATAGCAGGGGCTGGGAGGCCTGCTTAAATATAAATGGTGAAGTGAAGCACTTTAAGAGTGTACCAAATAGTGCCGAGCACAACGGAGCTGCTTCACATACATCAGCCATCAAAGAAAAAGATTTGATGTTAGAAGACGATGAAAGGTGCAGTGTGATTCAGGGAGGAGTGTGCATAAAGTTAAGAAAGGATGACGCAAACACCCACACACATATACGTACACAAAGTAAAGAGTTGTTTCAGTGAACAGACAGAAATGAGTGTGATGGCCTTTCTTAGTTTTCTTTGTTTTCTCTTTTATCTTTACTCATAAAGCAGAACAATAAAGTACAGGAGATAAATAATCCATGATAAACAAACAACTGCTAATTAGTGTGATTTTCCTAAAACCTTGGCGTGGGTGTGTGTGTGTACACTCATTATCTCCACCAGCGTTTTAGCACTGATCACAATTCTTTTTAATTAACCCACGCTGTGTATTTTTATCTTGCAATTCAGTGCTGCTGTGCTGCACGCCCATCAAACAGACAAAGAAGACAAAATATCAAACAGTCATGTGTGGGAGGGAAAGGCGCCGATCAAGACTGAGATACAGTGAGTCAAGGAAAGAAACAACTGGGCGACAAGGTGCCTCTTTGAAACCTACACTGTGTCACCTCTAATGAGTGGATTTGTGTTTTGTGAATCATCTTAGTCATACAGCTGTCAGATTACAGGTAGCAGGTAGCACCATGAATTAACCACTGCATGTTTAAACTCGCGCTGTGGCACTCTGCTGTTATTCATTAAATGTTTACATACTGATGTTGGTACGACTCCCGCTCTGAAATAATAATCTCATATTTTATGAGATATTTATTTATGAGTATCAACCTGGACAGTAATCTTGGATTTGGGATTTCTGGGGTTTTTAATTTTTGAACAAATTCATGTCAATGTTTGTGTCTTCTTTAAGCTACTTAAATCTTTCCCGCTGCAGCTAGTTCAACTAATTATGAATATTAAAATTACAGTTTTAATAAAACTGATAGTTACAATCAAATAAAATGAGCAAAATGTTGAGGCAGACAGGGCCTCATCAAGCAGCATGAAGCTACAGGTATGTTTACAAAGCTACATTTTTAAATTATTTTAAACTTCAACTGAACAATTACAGATTTATCATTTTCTTTATTATTACATAATAACTATACTTATAAACACATCAGCTTTTAGGCTCATTACCGCCACCTGGATTAAAGAGAGGACTCAACTTTTTTTTTTAACTCACTCAGACGTATTCGTCATATGACTGCATGCACCGAACCGTGACGCCTGTACCGTGACGGTTTGTGACGAATACAAATACCATTACACCCCTACTGGGTTATGAACATCACAGTGGATTGTGAAATTGTGATATACATTTTTTTGTGTTTCTTAGACAAATCAATGGATTAAAAAAAAATACTCAACTAGAAAGACATTGAGAGTGCCCACCTCTGCCAAGACCAACCGTCCAGTCTTCTAGAACATGCAAATCTGAATACCCTTCACCTTAATCTTGACAGGTTAGCACATGCTTGACAAAATTTGCCAATTTTGCCATAGGAAAGGGAAAAATAATTTCTGTATACGCCCGATGATTCTGTTCCAAATTTTAATGGGTCCTTCCTTGGTCCATGCTACACCCACCCCATCGAGTGTCATGGAAATTGGGCCAGTAATTCCTTTAAAATCCTTAACGATAATGGAAATATGTATAAGTGAGTTTTGTTTTTATTTCTTTAATTTAAAATCTAAATCTGGAAAGGAGCTGTCAAACAAATGTAGTGGAATAAAAAATACAATATCTCCCACTGAATTGTAGTGGAGCAGAAGTATAAAGTAGCATGAAATGAAACTACTCAAGTAAAGTAGTATCTCAAAATTGTACTTGTACAGTACAGAGTAAATGTGCAGTTAATTTGCATATTAAGATTATTATTGTTATTATAAATGTATTTGTGTCAGATGTGGATCAGATGTCATTATCCGGATATAGCTGATGTGTGAACAGTGTATATGGGACCCAGATGAAAGGTAGGACAAGGTTAGTGTCAGACAGCCCTAAAAAAGTTTGGAGATATCCTATTAGAGCAATACTGCAATAGCTTCACATGCAAAAACACACACTGCACTAAAATAGCTCCTTTTTCATTGGATGGCTTTCTCTTGACAGACTGTCTGGACAGAAACAAATACTGTAAGAAAACACCTAAGAATTAAAGTACTTCCTCAAAGAACGATAGCCTCTATAACAATAATACACAACCCTGGCCAGGTTGATTTTCAATGAGACAGAAAGATGAAGGCAGGCGGAGCACCGAGAAACCCACATAACAACAGTCAAGACATTCAGGTGAGGCTCCTGGCAAGCTGAATGGAATACAACACAAAGATGTTTGTGAAATAAGCTAAAAGCAACGTGTTTGGCAAGATGTCAATCAAATGTTTTTTATTCTGACTCTTACCCTCAATTACTTGTGTATCCACTTTACTCTATTCTTTTTTCCATATCTCAGTGTTTCACACCCTTTCTTTGCTATTTCTCATTCTTTAACATGAAGGAGGGATCGATTAAACACATCCTTCATAGGTCAAAGCAGGTAGCTGAAGTAGTGACGGGCAGAGACTGGCAGACAAACAGGGAGAAGTCCTCTTCACAAGGAGCTCAGTGCGTCCGACACCTCCCAAGGTCATGTCTGCTCTTCCCGCAGAGAGCTTCTGTCACTCTTAATAACTTTTAAAGGGAACATTTTTTCTCTCCTCTGACAGGCTGAGGAGTAGAGGGACCAGTTGCAGAGTGAGACAATCACAAAGTGCAGACAGAGCGAGGAGGTGTGAAGTGAGGAGACGAGCCTGCAATGACTAACAGTGTACGCTGTTACTTTATGAAAAGTATTGCTACATAGAATTATGAAGTCTGATGTCAGTCAGTGTTTCTGTTTCAAGTTAGTTTGAGCAGTGAGCACAAACTGTGGCTGTAATCACTACTCTGTTATCTGTCACTGCTGTGCTTACCATTGCTGTAACACTATGGCAGGATATGATGGATTAGGACACGGTGCAGCATAGTGTGAAACACATAGACATGGATCAGGCACAAACTCTACTCACTACTCATGCTACTTTAAGGTGCTCTGGATTAATGTCTCAACCAAATGGCATATGTTACATGTTACTGTCACTCAGATGGATGTATTATTAGGGCAACGGGGCTGCCAAGTGGGTATGTAAACTATTCTTGTACGCAGATAATAATACTTGCCAGAAATAGTGTGGCATTATCAATAGGGATGCATCGATCAATTTTTTCCAAGACCCCAACTCTCCATTACAGAGTAGCAAACTAATCTCAGTGTTCTTTTTCTCTTTTCTTTGTCTCTTTTTTCTCTGATTTTTTTATATCAAATCCAACTCCATACCTGTTCTTGCCGGTCAAGCCATCGGTCCACCATTGGATGGTTGGCGCTGAGGGAAGATCGAGTCATCTCTCTCTGGAACTGAGTGGTCCAGCCACTCGCATCACGAGGAAGACTCCGATAGGCATGCCCTCCTCTACCCTGCAAAGGAACAGAAGTGGTGTAGAGATTAACAGCACTGCATGACACAGAAGCTACTATCAGAAGAAGAGGTTTACTTGCACTGATCATACCACTGCTGCCGCAAAGAAATGAGTAGGAGCAAAATCAGCTATCTAAAATCCTTCATCAACAAACAATTTCAAAGACTGATCCATCCTTCATATTTTTGGCTTTTAAATGGGCAGTTTTGTGGGTTGGTGTTATCTATAGCAGCTAGATGACAGACATTTTGTGATGGAAGTTGGTTAGTTTATCTTGGATTTGTCCCACACACCAATACTGAGTTCTTCATTCAAGTCTCACTCCATTCCACCCTCACCCCTAACCCTTCCCCACAGCTAAACCTGAGCTGCTAATAAGAGGCCTCTTATAATAAGACAGCCACAGCTGAGCTTTTCCATTCCACAAAAAGCACCCTCTGAAATGCTCCTGCCAAGGTAATGTCAAACACCAGCAGACTTATTATAATAGCCAGGAGCACAAAAATGCACACAAGCACACTAGATTACATTCCAGACATGGTAGCCTTGGCACTGTAATCCTGGCGATTGAAGGTCATGGTGGCTGAAGCTATTTGAATGAAAATGAAAGCAAATGTATATTACTAATCACAGAGGAGACAATGATTCACAAAGACAGACAAACCAAATGAGAATGATTAAAGGTCTGATGAGTTACCAACTTACAGCTAAAGAGCAAGACAGACAGAAACAAAAGTTTGGATTTCTTTAATGAGACATCACACAACAAAAGAACACAGACAAAAGTTAAAAAAGAAAAAAATCCCAAGAGGCTTGTTGCAGACTGAGGGGCAGAATGACAGGCAGCCGAAAAGGTGAAAAAAGGCAAAAGAAAACATGTTATGTTCTGTGAGTAAAAGAATAGCAGCAAACAATGCAAAAAAACAGAGCAGAGCAGGAGAGAGAGTCCTATCCCCTGCCAGCTATAATAAGCCATATGTGCATTTGAATGTGGCGTGACGGGGCCTAAGGAAGCCCTGCAGACAGGACTGTAAAACTCAGCTGGACACGTGGGCTCTACTGAGACGGCCACTGATAGCCATCATGGCCTCTGTCCCAGCCATGGAACACGGCACGACAATGGACCTCTCTCCACAAACTTTTACGACACATCAGGTCGTAAAAGGCAGAGTAACCCAGATATCAGAGAGGTAGCAGTAAATCAGCGGGACCATATCCACGGCCTGATTCCTTTAGTTGACTGTGCTAAGCGTGGAGAACCCAGAGTATGAGGTATTGTAAAGTCATTGGGAAACGTGATGAGTTTACAGTGCTAGCTGATGACTGAGGACTCCCGTTGCCTTATATTGTGGAGACTTAGCAGAACTGAGCCTTAGTCAGCCATAACTGGACTCACAGGGAATTGAACAGAACATGGCTGACTGCAGTATATAAAGGAAATTATCCCAGACAATGGGGAGACACTATAGTGTATGGCTTGCATCCATATGCTCTTTTGGCAATGCTAATCACTGATGTATGGCTCCCTCTGAGAACAATGTTTGCTCCAAGACATAAATATATCAAAGTCAATGCTGACTAATACATTCAACATCTGTTGTTGACTGCATAAAAATAGACTTTATCTTGGACTGACAGGGAATATATGACAGATGGATGTATGAAAAAGAGAGATTGAGGATTATGAAGACTAAAACTCCATTTTTATTGAAAAATCTAATGGCCCTGTCAAAAACTGGACGAGCTGGAAAAAAAACATGACAGCCTCCCAATGTTAGCTCATTACTTTTCAAACCAGTCGCCAGTGACAGGAAGATGACTTAAATGGATCTAATTCACGTAACTGATCACCTGCCACAGATGGGAGTCAAGAACTAAATGGGACACTTGAACACTGCATTCAGTCAGGCTTTATTTGCAAAATCTGTACAATGTGCTAAATTTATTTTAGCCATAATGTGAATACCATTTCTGTTGTCGCATTCACTCTGATATCAACCAAACATTATTAAGGATGTTTAAATTTATGCAACTCTGTTAAAGCTGTTGTAATCCATTCAAAGAGGGAATCAGTGTTTTTGTTGTTTATGCTATACTATAGTGCAATCATTGTTAATGATTTAAAGTTAAATGTTTTATGTTAATTCTGAAACCCAAACCCTACTTAACCCACAGAGCAAAGCAGCATTAATAACCTGTAGAGCGGACACACAAGTGGATGCCACAGGGCAGAGCAAAAGGACCAAATTGCAGAATTTGACCTACTGAAACTCCTGTTCTGTTGCTTTTATATTTTTCACACTTTAACAAACATTTTAACATATTCATATAACATGGGCCAGAAAAGAAGTCATCCTGCCATCACCTCAAACTTTTTTCCTCCGCCCCCTGGGCTTGGGGGTGTGCTGTTACATTGTTGAGGCTCTGACAACTAAAGTGTCTTTAAATAGGATTATCAGACACAGCTTCCAGACACACTAATCACATGGGGGTTTGCCGTGTCACGTTCCAACCACTCAATCATCTCCCTTTTTTTAACCTCCCTGTTTCATTGGAAACATATCTCTTTCTCAGCAAGAAGTAAAGGTCTGTCAGCACCACGTGGGGGCAGCCATTTTGAGAAGTTAATTGGCTTCCCTTCTCATTTGAAAGCCACAGGGAGGATGTACCTGAGCTACGTTTTTTTTAAGATTTATAATCAGTGGCTTAAAAAGCCCCAGAAAAGGTGAATTTGAACAAAGGGAAAGTGTTTAAGAATCTCTGCTCGTCTTTTTGGAAGACAAGAAGGGGTGTTATCAGAGGGAACTAGTTTCAGATAAAGACTATCTATGCCACTGCTGGATATCTGCAAGCAGGGCAGCACAGGTTTCATATCTCACGGTTATTTCTTTGATTTGGGGTGCAGAGGAGAGAAGGAATGAAAATGAGGGAAGAAAGAAGTAAGGAAGTTAAACAGAGAGACTGCTGGAGGTTGAAAGATTTCATAGCACATATCTGACATTATAATTGATGCAGCTCCAGTACATCTGCAGCACTGCAGAAAATAACTTCTGGGCAAGATGCTTTTTGAGTCAGTACTTGACAGTGGTGTAACAGAACTAATGCAATGCCGACCTTTTTTTAAGTTCTGTTTTTTTAGTCTCTTCAGATGCACATCAACCTTTATGAGAGAAATGGTTTATCATAGTATTTGTGAGGTATTCCTCTTGATAGCAGTAAAAAGTCAGAGTTAACACAGAAGTTACCAAAGTATCTCTGTTACCTTTCGTTCCAGGCTGCCGGTGCCTGCGCTTGTATTTGGTTTATGGCTGTGCTTCTGAAAGCCAGCAGTTGTGGACCAGCGAGTTGGATTCTTTCTGGACGGTTCCTCTGGACCCACCGGGACTTCGCCCGGAGGAAGGTCAGCCAGGGAGGGATCACTGCTGCGACGGACATGGAGAGGCATATCTGTGGAGGGGAAAGTGGAGTGAACAGAGGGTGGAAAGAAAAGAATAAGAAGGGAAAAGGGTGAAAAACAGGGGACACAGCAGGTTACAGCAACATCAAACTTGCTGTTTTATCCACATATTGAGATGATCACTTTCTCCCTCAGTGTTCCAACAGTGGCACGTTTCTGGGGCCACTGTGCTGACTGCACTGCACATGAGCTGAATCATGGGAAGTGGTGATTATAGTGTTGTTTCCATAAAGTCTATTGAGCCCAAAAGGAAACATTGTACAACTCAACTGTGAGAGGTTTGGCTTGGCTTGAGCTCTGCTATAGTGAAAGAAATATACTGTAAGTGTAATTTTAGCTGGAAAATTACCCAGGCAGCTATAAAAAACTTGTATGTATGTAAAAAATGATCCAACCCCTTGGTCAGACTAGCCACCCTAAAAATAACAATTACTATCATAATTGCGGCAAAACTGCTCATATATCATCATCTGACTCGCAAGATAAAGGTCATTCTTACACACTGCAAGCTGATACTGGAAAGTTTCCCGGGATTGAAACCAAAATTACCCCAGCCATCAAACACATACAAGAAACTGCACAGGAAACACTGGCCCATGTTACAGCTGCCACATTGACCAATCTACAGCTAAAACTTTGTATAAAGTTCTCATATTTGATCAGAGGTGCCAGAACAACTAGAGGGAATGAAGCTGCTCCACATTTCACACTCCAGTTAAAACCTTCAGTGAGAAATCCTACTCATGTCTGTTACACAGGGAAGGCGGTAAGTATATCCGTGAGCTGTGGTGTGAATCATCTGGATATTCCCAAAAGGCCATATGGATTTGTTTACGACGTTCTAGCAGCCTGCATGTTACACCCATAATTATGCAAATAGTTGGGTAACCACCTGTCATCCATTGGCGGATCATTTCAGCGAGCATATGCCGGTGCTAAGCTTCCATCTGATACACCAGAGACATGTCTTAGTGGTGAAAGCGACGCATTTTAATCACGGCTTACGCTGTGCCGCAACTCGTGCGTATTTAATACTGTGACAAGACTGGAGAGTTTTGAATGCTACTGTAAGTGTTTCTTGTGACCGCCTGCAGGGAAGAAGGCTCGGAGACAGCAATAATTATTTGACTGAATCCCAAAAATAAAGGGGAGGTAAACATGTGTTTGCCGGTGCCTTTATCCTCCAGACAGAGAAACCACACTCTTGCTTTCCATATTCTGTCAAACATTAATCTTTTCAAGAAGCATCTCTCTTGACCTCAGTGGCTCATATCCCTTCTCCCATGTCCTTCACCTGTTCTTGCCTCTAATATGCTCACATAATAAAACATCCCATCTACCTCTCTGCTTCCTTACAATTTATTTCAATCCTACTCTCACTATTTAATCCTCCCCTACCTGATTCTGTGGTCTCCCGATTATGGTCAGGGCTCTATGGCACTGAACTATCGTTTTCTTCACTAACCCTTTGCTTGCAAGGTTGGTTTATGTAGGAATTGAGGTTTATTCTCACTCACCCACTGAAAATCCCCAACCTGTAGTATGTGATTGCTGGAATTTTCAACGTTTATTTTTCCTTAGTTTGAACTATGATGTCATTAAGGGCTATACACATAAACCTGACTTGTAGCAGGACAGTGCTTCCAATTAAAATGAAGGTTGCTGTATATGTTTTCAATCATTTTTTAAAAAATCGACTAATATCGAAATTCCTGTCTGGTGATAACAACTATCTTCAGTTATTGCTCTCTATTGTCTATTTTGTTGTTTTTATAGGAATGCCTCCTCTTTTACTACAAACCAAATCTACCCTTGGGTATAAATAAGTAACCTCGACCTTGAGTCCTTCAAATTACATTGTTCAATACATTGTTAGTCCATGGCCTCTGGAGCAACACATGGAAGCATTTTCTGATCTGAAGCCCACATCAGCAGGACATCACTTATTTGTATCTGTGCCTTCCAAAACTGGCAGTTTCAGGGATAGGGTTGGGCCCAGGACAGCACTCAGCAATCCAGTCAGGACATTACAGCAGGCCAGCTTTCTGCATGATAGAACCTTACACTGATGTCCTCTGGTCAGTGATGCTGACTTACTTATTACTTTCAACATATTTGGACATACTTTTTTCAACTGCTGGACATACATTTACATTTACTAGACTTTCCTTCTGGGTTTGACAATGTTGCAGTCTTACTTCCAAAGCTCCCAGTATGGTTGATGTCAATGAAACATTTGCACCATTATCCTTTTTTAGTCAAAAAGATCTGTTGTCACAGTATGTCCCAAAGCACAGCCCCTTTCTTTCCACTATGAACAGGGGACTTCATATGCAAATTACTATATGATGACATCTGGAAACTTCAGGGAACTTTCTCAGCAAGTAACCTGAGTTAATAAAACTCTATTTCTCATGAGGGGAATCCTTAATGCGAGTCAGGTTCTCAAGCAGTAGCAAGTAGCTTGTAAAACCACACTATCAAAGTAGCTTTCCTAACACTCTGTTAAAAGTTTGATCTTCACCCTTACCCAACCACTCTGCGGACATAGACATGTCAACAAAACTTACCAGCAGCTTTTAATATATTCTGTCCTCTGTTACAAATGTGTTTCAGTTATTTAGACCGTTGTCTGTAGGCTTCCTCAGAGGAGGTTGGGAATTGAGTAAAGAACCACAGCTAGCAGCCACATGGCCAGTCATTGTGCATTTACTCTTAAATCAGGTTGAAGATTCAATAATGGCATTTAATAGACTTTGCCCCCTCTTGGTAACGGCTGGTTCATGTCCAGTTCAGGGCTCTAATGGCATTCACCTCAGACGGCGGGGGTAATTAATGTCTAGTATTATGCTACATGACAAAAATACAGAAAGACAGGGAGTGAGAGTGAGAGCTACAGAGATGGGGGGGGGGATTTAGAGGGAAAACAGGGATTAAAGTAAGGGATTAAAAAATACAGATGCTTGGAAAAAAATCTGAAACTTCACATTACATCTCCATATTTTTTTCCTCAGAATGAGGCTTTTTTATTTAAGACTTTTAAATAAGTATTTGCTTTTTATGTATCTGTGTGTGTGGACATGGAATTACAAGACACTTGATGTTGATTAAAAGCCTTGGTGTATTTCCCAGAATACCTCAAGGCTCAGCTCTTACTAGACATTTATCAGGGTCTTTTGAAACCATGACAACATTGATCATGCTTTATGCGACATGACTCTTTCCAGATGCTAACAAACTAAAATGTCCATTATTAATCATTTATTTGTATCATTTGGAAACCATGCATACTCAACATTCACACCAAATAACTGAATTTAATTAAATGCTGTAGATAAAGACAGTTAGGAGAGCCTGCAGCTGAATTTGAGAATTTCATTAAGATATGTGATATGACATCACGTGTTGATACATGATATGATCTAGAACATGTGATTTAATATTACATTTATAATACACTAGATTAGGTCATTCTGTGTGCCAATGAGTGTTGCTGATCATGCTTTCTCTTCCAGTTTACACAGCCTCCCAGTTTTAGATATGCATGAGTGAAATATATAAAGGACTGACTTTGTGTCAGCAAGTCTTTCGACTCTCTTTGTACTGTGAATTTATGCTTACGCATCAGCTAATGATGTCTGGCTGTTTTACGATGCTACTGGCATCTAAACACAGACAGGTATGGCATATTCCCATTTAGTGAGGCTTCTCTTTTAAAATGCTGATTCATCATGTTTACAAATCCTTACAGATTAACATATGATAAATAAGAGAGCTGGTCGGTGTGTGCTTGTTTATTTGTACTCTGTTTGGAAGGTCACAATATGAAAATTCTCTCCCCTCCCCGTTCTCCCTGACCAATTTTCCTCTACTTAATTTGTGATGGGATTATCCCGGCAGTCCGAAGGGTTTGGTTGGTCCCACGTTTAATAACCAGCGCCGCCACTTCAGACCAAGCCAGCCATCGATCCAGGCTGAAGAAGGAGCGAGACCACTGGGGGGAGGGTGGCTAATAAAACGAGACCCTAATCCAGCCCCTGTAGTGAGGGATTATGGCCAGGGCACAGGGTCATAGAGATGCACACACCACAATTCACCACAGGGAGAGGTCAGACTCTCCAGGGGCTATTACCTCGTATTGCTTTGTCCTTTATTTATCTTTCACACTCACCTTGTTTGGAGGAGAAATATATTAGTTTGTATGAATCACCATGGATAAAAGTTTATACACGGCACAAAAGTCAATATTAAAGTAATTTAGTGTTAGATTGAAGAATCTTGTATGTGCACATGCTGATTTTTACTATTTAGAGGAAACTGCAGCACAGTTTGAAATGGGAGGTAATACATTTTTAGTAGGGGTGGCGGGACTTCAGTTACAACCAACAGTGTGTGTGTAACACTGGCAAAAAGCACTGATATGAGCCATCATGAAAATAAAGCCATAAATGACAACTATGTGGGACTCACTATTGAATATGAAGTATTGTGAAGGACGTTTCACTGTTTATAATTAGTCATGCTTGCTTCAGTTATAACCGTCAGCATGAGCCCTCTTCACTGTCACAAAGAACAAATCCATATATGACTTGGGTTGCAAGAATATCAACTAGCTATAGAGAGGTTTAGTGAGCTCACTGTTGTGAGTATACTTCAGTTTTCATTGATATGTTTTCTTAAGTTCTGACATTCCGCAAGGGAATCGCCTTCCAAAGCCAGACCACATCAGGTTTTACAACTAGTATTAGAAAAACATCCAAAAATAATCAATTAGCCCTGAACAGATATGACCAATCAGAACAGGTTTAAAGAGTGCAAGTCCCTGTTAGATTGAACACCCTCCATGTGTTGGTCAACCAGGAGTAGAGAGGATTCATGTTGTGTTTACTGGAGATAACATCAGTCTTCTATTGTCAAGTACACTTTAAATAATGTCTGTCTCAAGTGCCTTGTCAGACAAAATATTAGGAAACACCATCATTTTACTCAG